ATAACCGATTCTAGCACAGAGGAGTAGGTAAGTGACGAAACGTGTAACTGTTAAATGGTTACTATTAAACGGTTGCTGTTACTGGTCACATGATGTTATTGGCTCTTGACGATGTCAGTGAGTGTAAGCATTAATACGTATATTGGTTGTATTTATACTACAAAGAATGCGGTTTTAAATAGAAGTTATTTGGTTGTGAGAGGGAAAGAAGTAGGAATACGTTAGGAGGAGGGAGAAGGTGGTTGAGTTGGACAGTTAAATGTTATGTCGATAATTAAATGAAATGTTGTTAAGGTTAACGATTCTTTATTTTGATATAAATAAAGTATATATGTGCTACAATCAAAATATTGAATAATAAAATTACATTAATAGTGCTTACAATTTGTAGAAGTAGGAAAGAGTTGGTGATATAATCCTTTGCCACAGAGCCCTCTATGTTTTCAGCCTCATGAAGATGAATCCATCGGCTTTTAATGTATTTTCGAGACTGTCCATGTTTTTCAACGAATGCAAGTTTTACAGTGTGCAGGTTTTCCACGTTTTCAATACTACTGTCGGTTATGGCGGTATCCCGCCTTTCGTTTCTTTTGGTTATTACCAGTTCGAATCAAATGCACTATTTTTTCCTTAATTAATGTTTTTTATTTACACTATTACACTTTATTTAATATTAAACTATCGATAAACACTTGCATTAATAAATTGTATAATCAATTTGGTTGTTGTACATATATTGGGTTTTATTGGTATAGAATTGTTTGAATTGTTGAGTTGATGAATATGAATCGAATTGATTTTGGATATGAATTGATATGAATCGAATTGATTGTTGGATATGAATTGATATGAATCGAATGCTTTTCATGCTTTCAAATTTCAGTATTTATAAAAGGTACTGAAGAAAGCGACACGTCCTAAACAGGCATCTTTTGGGGTAGGTAACTGACCTTACTGGTCTTGTCTTCTGTGAAATACCGAACTCCAATAAATTCGGTATTTCCGCCAATATCATAAAGTTAGTGCTGGTCGCACATGTTTACTTAACAACTACTTTGAATTTATCCTAAACTATGGACCTAATAAAATAAAATATTCAGAAAAACTGCTTAAGAAATATGTACAGTAATATACAAATAACACAACACCAAACATTCCGCCCGCCTTGAAAGGATTCCCTTTCAAAATGTTATCAGTCTATTGGTAGCGGACATATGTTTATTGCGGCACGTTTCATAACACCCTTGGTTGTTTTAACTGACACTGTACGCACTGTACCGTCACTTCAAGGATATGTGTTGGTTATTCGCCCTAAGCACCATTGAAAAGGAGGGAGATTGTCTTCCTTTATTAAAACCAACAAACCGGGTTGCAGGTTGATTCCAGGGATTTTCCATTTGGTGCGTTGCTGCAATGACGACAAATACTCCTTCTTCCATCTTCTCCAGAAGTGTTGTCTAATCTGTTGCAGTCGTTGCCATCTGGACGATCTGTTTTCCTGTATGTTTGATAGGTCTGGTTCCACCGGAGCAGTAAGTGGATTGCCAATCAAAAAATTGCCAGGAGTTGAGGCATCTAATTGGTTGGATGAATTTGGTAAAGCGGTTAAGGGTCG